GGAAAGGTGTGTTCCAGCAAGGACCTTTCACATGCGCACAACACGTCCTTGTGAAGTTGTTGGGCATTGTGACACCTGTTGAGTTGCAGAGGATGCCTGCGCTGGAGTATCAGCGACTTGACGGCACTTGTGGAAACAATCCAACGAATCTTTCCACACAGGATGACATGGTGGGAGGATTTAGATTGGTGCTGGTTGGCGGCACTCGCAAGCCCTGAGACAGGCCTGCGATCCATGGACGGGGGAGTGCATTTCTACTCCCGAGCCCGAGGGCAAGGCGCAGAGAGATGCAGACGACAGAGTTCAGGCTCCCGCTTTCCACCTCCAGGAGTGTGACGACGGCAATCCCAACACGTACCGAAAGCGTTGCGTCGAGGGCCAGCTCTTCGACTGAATTGATGCACCTTGCACGACCGAAAGCCTTCTTATGCCTGGGTGGGAGAGAACTCAGGTGCGTCGGAGACCTTATTCAAACACCTTTGTACGCCTTCCAGGGCTGGCGGAGTTGCGACCACAGTAACTGGGGTTGCAGTGTGTATACAAGAGGCTAGAGTCAGCAGAGACGGGCGGTGACATGCCTGCGAACTGCGAACCGGACGTCGAAGGCACAGTGATCGAAGCCTCCGGCATCGATTTCACCACTGTCGAGCGATACTTCGGCAACGTTCTCGCAGAGACAGAATGCGAGGACTGGCTGTGCATGATGTAGGTCTCTAGGACCGAGAGACTTTGCCAGCTTTGACCGCCGGCAATGGCATCCACGTGCACGTTATCATTGCCGCTCCCTCCCCAAAGTTCAGAGGGCACATGAGGTGGATCGAAGTTGAACACCTTGCGAGCTTCCACGTTGATTTGTCAGTGTTGCGCTAGAAGCATTCTGCTTCAGTCAGGCGGAGCTGCCCCATGTATGTTCGTGCATTATACTGCAGTTCCAGAGACGTTTTGAAGCATACTTGCGGCCTTCTCAGGAGCAGTGCTCCCAAGATGCTCTCTGTCGGGCCTACTCGCAGCTGGGCGAAGACTAAGACGTTGTGCAATCTTTGCTCTCCGCTCTCCCCGTTCCCAAGAAGAGAGAGACTCCTTGACGTTCCTGAGGCTTCAATTGATTCAAGACCCATACACTAGTAGAGCTGTGTTTTCCGAATGGATTCAAGGCTGAAGTTCTATGTGAGCAACAGATTTGCCTGGTACTCTGAATTCAGGTATGGTTACTACGTTTGCAGCTCTTCTGCAATTAACAAGGATGCAGCCTACGCCATGGAAAAGGGTGAGTCAGTGTTTCTTGTACCTGCCTGCAAGGCTACATCTACGGAGGCTGGCCTTTCATGAACAAGCATGGACATATACCGGTTCGTGTACGGACCAAGAACCCAGTTTCATGTCATGTAAAGTGCTTGGTGTGGGGATGTTGCATGAACCTGCTTGAGGACCACGCACCATAGATCCCAGTGAGGAGTATTGGGGCAAGCCGCTCTTCTCGCAAGACCTCAGGGCAGTGAGACTCCTCACCATTCCTCACCCAAATAGCGGAGCTGTCGCAAAAATGCTATCCTTTCTCAAGAGAGAAGTACAGAAGTTAACGTCCAGGACGCTTTCATGGTGATGGATGCTCGCACTGTGTTGGAACCAAGGGTCGAATCCAACGTAGCTGCAAAGACGCTGAAGTTTCTCACGTCACTGCAGTGTCGAGTAGTCTCTGAGGAAGTGGATGCGACTGGAGCCCGCTGCAATGCCTGCTGTCAGTCATGGCATCTCTTGCTTTGTCAAGCAGGACTGGCTTGTGCAGACATCTCTGTCTCTCTCTCTCTCTCTCTCTCTCTCGCTGTCTCCTCTTCCCGTCCCGTCTCCCTTCTGCCCTTCCGCTTTCAGCTCCTCGTCCCCCTTCTCTCCCTCCTTCTCTTTCCACGTTCCCCATCCTCCTCCCCCCATCTTCCCCTTCCTCTGTATCCGGTGTTCTTCTTCCGCTCCTTCCCAGCTGCTGGTCGGTGACTGCTATGTGATGACTGTGCTCGATTGAAGGGTGCATCTACGGCCAGGACAGCGCAAGGGCCCGACCATTCATTGACGAGAAGGCTGCGTGGTTCTTCATCACGGTTCTCATTGTGGCCGAACGCCCAGAACTCTTGACATCAAGTCCCATGTAACAGTGCCCCACTGTGTAGCACGAGGTTGTCTTGCCAGCCCTGTGGGGCCTTGTGATGGTCTGGAGCCCCCTCTCGCGCTCCTTCAGGCCCGGCGTGTAGCAAAAGACAGCTCCATGCTCATCGAAGCTGGACGATGTTAGTATGTGCTGGCTGGCCAGGTCACTCACCGGTTGCTGCGGTGGGGTACCAGACGATGAGGAGCAATCCGCAGTTTGCAGACGATGTCGAAATCCCGCTCAAATCAGTTGTGGCAGCATAAAATTCGTGCCAGGAGTTTGAGGAGCCTGTAAAAGAAGGCCCGACCGTGGAATCTGCAAACTCTGCCAAAACGTCCGCAGTTCGGGTGTCAGCATGAAGGTGGACCAATGAGGCAGACTCGAAAAGATCAGCTGAAGAGATCGTCGCACCATGCTTGCAGCAAGTCCGATGGGAGGTGGTTGAGCAGCTCTAGATTTCGAGGGCGTCGCTCTCTCTGGCTTGAGCTTGAGCAGTCGGAGCAGGGGGTGCTTTGCCTTGGTGGCCAGGCTATTCCGTGTGCGAAGCTGTTGTTGTTCGAGATGTCGTTACAGCCTCTGGAAGAAGAAGAATAGTGAGTGAACTGCTGACCGCAATTGTTAAAACACCGACGGGCTGCGCATGAGTCTTTTCCAGGTTTCCTCAGTTCATGTGCATCACTAAGCCATTGATTGTGTACGAACTGTGCCAGCTCGTCTGCCGCGCTGCTGACTGCGACCTAGCTGTGCATCACTCGACGTGTCAACCGAGTTCGTATGTCGTCCCGAAAACTTCAGGGTTGATGTTCTGGCAGAATCTGGGAAAGCCTTGCCGCAAGAGTGTTGTCCTGGTAATTTGTTGTAGCATAATGAAACATGGGAGTTTCCGAAACTAAGGGGGTACCTTCTTTTGGGATCCTTATAATAAGGATCCTACTATTTAGGGTACTATATTGGGGTCCACTATTTTCGGAAACCCCCACATGAAGGTCGAACCTCTCTGCCCTCTCGGACGGGAACTCCGACTCCAAGGTCCTGGCCACAGGGGAGGCCGAACTATGGATTTCTGCATTCCATGGGGTGACCTGTCTTCCTGCTTTTGCCCTGGAGGTATACTATCCGGAGGCTGGATGTCAGCACGAGAGTTGTTGGGGGCATATCAATCACAAACTTGACTTTGGACAAGTCTGCATCCGATTTGACCAAGAACTCTCTTGCTTGACTTGCCAGCCGTCAGTAGTTGTTGTGTGCGAGCGTTGTCGCCCTTTGCACGTGCAACAGGATGACTTGCCCTCAGAGAGCAGTTCGCGGATGAATTTTGGATGCACTTACCATGCCTGCTATGGCTATGCACTGCCCTTGAACGACTTGGACGCATGCTTAAGCGATGCAGCAATCCAGCAAGGAGTGTGGATGCTCTTGCAGATCATCCTAGTGCCGTGCCATCGGATGATCTCGAACAGGTGAAGCTACACAAGGCGGGAAATGTCGTAGTGGAACCATCGGTTAACCAGTTGAGTATGCACGGACAGGGATTGTGGACTTGTTTTGCGAGTGTGTTTGGACACAGCAGTTCCTCTGGAGTCTGGCTTCGAATGCAGTAATAAGGATGTGCACCTTCCGATGCCTCTTCTAGCTGCTAGCTTTGGTTAGCGACAGACCGATCACTAAGAGGGCGGTACTACGAAACCGCATGGTGTGAATGCATGACACGCCACGTGAGGGTCGAGAAGGACGCAAGATGGTCCTCAAAAAGCAAGCAGGCGGCGACTGCAGAGTCTCCTCGTTCGCCGAACGATCCCCGTGGCCAGGTGCAGCAGGCAAGCCGAGCTTACTGTCTGCAATTCAAACTTCAAGCGTGTCGGATGAGACTGTGCGAGGAACTCGCACACCAGGGCTCTGCCGAGGAGCTATCCACGGAAGCGAGCAAGAACAGCAAGGACGGGTTAAGCTTGCTTCGAAGGAGGTTCCTCCAAGCCTTGTCATGGTCTGCGAGGAGGAGCCGGGTGGAGCATAGCTGGTCTCAATCTGTCTCTTGGCCACGTGGCCTTCAGACCCGCGAAGCGGATTGCCACCGTGCACGAGTGCAGTTGGTCGCAAGGGCACCTGACCTTTCCCGACTCATGCTTGGCGGCCTGGGCCAGTGTAGCGAGACTAAACCGAAAGGCTGGGGCAATGGAATACCGCAAAGGCCCAAAGTAGTATCGTCTCACCACATGACTCCGCGGACAAGCGATTTTTTGGGAGAGCATCCGATGAATTCGATGCGCGCCTCAGGTGCAGCGAGCACCTCTCCTTCTCCTTGAAAAGTAGTTGCTAAGAAGCTTGTCGCCGGCAAAGTCCTTCCACTCAAGACCAGACTTTTCATTTCAATGAGCATAGCATAATGAGGGGACAGTGAATGGGCGATAATTGCTATAATGTGCTTGTGCTCAGCAGACATCGTAGCTCATGTCCCCATGCACCAAGTGCACGGGGGCAGCTCAATTCGAAGATGTGCGAGTGTTCGTAGTTCGACGCTGGTTCGTGAGATGCAAGGCTACACTGCCTGTCCTCATATTGTTGCAGCCACGAGTAGCCGGTTCGAGTTAGGCCAAGGTGTAGCATCTCAAGAACCATGGTATCTGCTTCGCGAGTTCCCCTGCACGTTATGGAAAATGCCATGTCTGAACTCCGCCTGCCCCAGATTTGTGAAGCATGCTGTCGAGTGCTTCTTAGCCTGCACTACTCCTGCATTGCTTGTCTTCCCTAACGTCTCTGCGAGTTTCTACTTTGACGTTTCGGACAGTCTTCTGACCACGCCACGTCAGATGAACTCTTGTCCTACTGCCATGGTCCTTGCTCGGTCAAAGACCTGCTGCAGGAGGATGCTGACAGCGTTGATGGAAACGAAGCCCCACCTGACTACCTCGTTCCAACGCCGAGGAGGTTTGATGTGGCGAGCTCAGAACGGCAGGTGTGCGGCTTCGCATCGGCTTCGCGAGGTGCTGCGGTTCTGACAACTTAGAGAATGCTACGAGTGCTGCACCACCTACGCACCCAACCACACCCAAAAAGCAACTTGTATGTGGTTGCACCAAGGCGGCCCCCCCCCCCTTTCCTCCCCTCCAACCCTGCCTCGCAATGGCATCCCTTATCCCTTGATTTGGTCATCCTCCTAACCCAGCTGTCCCTTGAACTTCGGAGTTTAGTCCCCCTCCCCTCCCCTCTTTGTGGAAAAGCCATCCGCACGTGTACTTAAGCTCCAGAAGGGGCCAGAACGCACAGCGCACAACCAGATGGTTGCGCCACACCTGCACCCACACACCCAAACTCTCGCTAAAGATTAGGCTGCAGTGTGACCATATGATATAATATAATATAATATAATATATTAGCTTGTGCCGGCGACTTGAGGTCAACTACCACACAGGAGTGGGCATTGGAGTTTTGTAACTGCAACATTGCGTCAGAGAACTTGAGCATGAAGCTCTACATGCTGTGCCTTTCAGTAGTGGCTCTGCATGAACTTCATGAGAACCTGTTAAAGCTGGTCCACACCTGAATCTTCTGCAAGTTGGAGATACCAGTAGCATCTGGAGGATCTGATCCATTGGCCCAGACGATGAAAACAGTTTCGACCATGCGGTCATTCTGGGTAGCAAGCTTAGCAGTTCTGTCGTCTCGTTTGTCACAAGCACTCGAACGCAGGCAGCTGCGGTGAGCCGTGCAGTAGCACAGGTAAAGCCATAGCATCCCATGAGCACAATCCAATGTCGCTTCTCAGTCGCTTAAGGAGAACAAGGTGCGCGAAAACGCGGGCCCGGGCCTCAGACCTTCTGCTGTTTGTGAGGTCTGTGGTTTGCAACTGGCTTGCATCACTTTGCCAGGAAACAAGGATGGTGAGCGAGAGGCTGGATGAGTTCTGGCTTCTGTTGGTGATGGCTGAACTTGTCAGCAGGCCCGGTGGTCGAGGGTGTCCCACGTCGAGACCCAAAAGAATTCCCAAGGCCCAAGACGACATACATACTTCAAGCCTCGAATTCTTGCGTTGTTGCGGGCCAGGGCCAGTATGGCTGAAGAAAGAACTCACCAAGCTTCAAGCCCATGTGGACTGCCACAGCCGCCTTGCCTGCTGGCACGGTGGATGCAAAGAGGCGAGACTTGTGCGCGTGGATTGGAGGACGCAAACAAAGAGCGCCTGCTGGAACTGAGCCTTCGCACGCGGCCTGGTGAGAGTCTCCGGCCGCGAAGCCCCGGAGCACTTGCTGTCTTTGTTCGATTCTGTTCTTCTTCGTGCATTGACATGTTTCCGCTCTTCAACGAGCACTTCCCCATCAGATACTGTAAGGCCTGCGGGGTCAAGAAGAGAACTGTGTGGATGACGAGCACAGCACAAGGTGCTCCAGGCCCGAATTGAGCTTGACATTGACTTGCCCTACCGTAGCTGCAACCGCGGAGCCAGACACAGGAGCCCTTCATCCAAAAGCAGCTGCACCATCAGCTCCGACTCGGACACATCGAAGAGCTGGAGCCTCGGAGCCCGTGGATTTTCCCTTCGCCTCATGGCCACAGCAGGGGAGCAGTGTAAAGGCACGCAGTCGATGAACTCTTTGTTTTGGCAAGTACGAGCAAAGAAGGGCAGCCGTGTGTTGTAGACGCTAGATTGCGGCCCTAGCCCTTCTGTGCATCATGCGCGGCTCGTTTGCGAGCGAAGCCAGCCTTGCTTGGTCTGTCGCCCGCATAGGTGGAGCAAGCATCCTTTGGCAGGAATCACAGGAACGGCAAGAGCCACATCACGAAACAATTAGATGCAAAGAGAGATTGCTCGTTGGCTGTCTTTTCGCTGATCTTCAAAGCACTCCTTGCAAAGCTGAGGCTAAGGCCTGCATGCTCCATGCATCATTCCAAACTTGTTACTTGTGTATCGAGTTTGCAATCCGAGATCGCGCGAAGTGTTCATGGAGCCTGCTTTCAACAACTCCGCTTCTTCTGAAGATTCGGACCAGGTCAAGAGACTCCCGAGGACGACGAGCTTCTCATGCCCGCGAGCTCGGAAAGTCGTGAATCCCGGCAGCGCCGAAGCGCTGCGGACGTCCTTTTGCCCTGAGGAGCCTCAAGTCCCTGAGACATGACTTCAACAAGGTCAATCGCAAGGCCCCCCGTGGATGTCATCCCGCCATGTCGGAGCGTTTGGTTCGATTGCTCTGCCGGCCGGAGACCGCAGCTCTCTTCGAGGAGGTTCTGGAGAGGCGGTGTTCTCACTCTTCGTGGCATGCACCACTTCTTTCATGAAGCTGTTGCAGTTCTCAGTATCTTCAGGTGTCTGCCGAAGGAGAAGCTCCGTCTCAGCCTTATCAATGTGCTGCAGACTCTTTGTGGTTACAGTGATGTTAGCTGTTACATGTAGAGCATCGAGATGCGTCGAGGCTTTTTCATGAGGGGTTGATAAGTTGGCGCAGGAATGGAGGATTCCCTGACTGCGGAGGCGCCCTCCCTTCAGGTGGGATTCGGCGCCTGTCGATGACCGAAGTCCGCTGTTATTATGAGTAAGACGTGTCCGGCAAGGTGGATTTCTGACGCCCAGGTTATTTTCACTGTAGCTTTAGTTTTTTGACCGGGAGTTTTTTGCCAAGCCTGTCAGTGGTCTGGCCTAACCATTAGATCCGGGATCTGATTCCTCAGTAGCTACTTTAAGAGTGGCTGAGTTGCTGTAGTCCTATACGAGGGCCGGGCTCTGCGGGCATGAATGCATGCGAACTTAATTCGTGTCAATGTTTGCAAATGTAGTGCACGTCCGAGTATTTAGCCTCACGGGTCGCGAGACCTGCAGAAGACTTTGCCTCAAGCATGCTCTGCAGTTGATCCTATCGACATTCACGCATGTGCACAGATCTTTCGGGAAGCTGAGAGGGCCTTCTCTGCAGCCGCTGGAGTTTCGTTCCGGGTCCCATCTGGCCTTCCCAGCACTACCATGATGTTGGACAGCAGAGACTCTACTTACGGGGCGCGCCGTGGGCCCAAAACAAGTCTTGCTGAAGTGGACCTGGGTCGCCCTCCCGAGTAGATCTTGCACCAGATGCATGACAAGGTCAACCTCGAGTGACTTCGAACTCCTACGCGTGCCAAGCTGAGAGAAGGTTTCCAAGTCCCGACCACCTCTGAGGTCACAGTTTTCCGCATTCCTGAGGAACGGTTCCAATCAAAACTGCGGGAATGTTATCTCCGACATCCCCAGCACACGCCTGGCCCTGGATATTCATCCCGATCTTCGATCGCCCATATTGTGCTGTGCCGGGAAACTTGTGCACCCGAAGGTGTTGCAGCTCCACCAGGCGGCAAATCCTCCATCTGTCTCGGCTGGGATGACAGGCCGGACTTTCGAGCCAAGGGCGAACTCTGTGGATGCATTGAGCTCCTGAAGGCCGGTCGGTCGAGCTGCAGGCCTTTGCAAGTCCTTGAGTTCATTACATCGCAGTGTCTGCAGAGTTAGTGCAGAGCTTCGCAGCTGAAATGCAGATGCCATTCCGCTGTATCTGCTGGAACTGAGCGGTCTGAATGCTCAGGCAGGCCTGTGGAGGAAGCATCGCGAGTTCAGGCTCTGTGGCACGAGTGGGGGGTCATCGAATGTTTCGTATATTTACAGCAGAAGGCGCATCGCCCGCCCGCTGGCGAAGCCGTGCGCCCGCCCGCTGGCGAAGCCGTGCGCCGGGATCACAGGCCGCGCGCTTGCAGCCGCATTGCGAAAGCCTGTGAACAGTCTGGACAGGTCAGTCCCGGAGGATCAGGCACAGGCAGGGGGATTGCAAATTGTGCTGCAAAAATTCACAGCAGCAGTGGTAAGAACATGGAGGGAGGATGCGGAAAACTATTCTGCCAGAGGCATATGGGACGCGCCCACGCGAGAGGCCACCGAATTTGCTTTTCCAGGGTTTTTTGGGCTGGAGTGCCCGCGGAGAACTGAAGTCGCACACTCTCATACTGCCGTTCTGATTCTTGCATGCATACAGCATCGTGATGCAAGTGTGGGGGTGGACTCTGTGTCCTGGCAATCCTGGTTGTTGCAGAAGTGTACTGCAATGTCGTCAGGTTTTTGCAGAGAGAGTTCGAAAGAGCATGCTTTGTTCGCCTTGTGCAATCCTGCCAGCAACTGAATTCTGGGTTTCCGTGTGCAGTGCTGTTTTTCGACCCCAGCCGCCGGCACAGTTCCAACAGCTATGCCTCCGGCAACAGCCAGAACACTGGGAATGTGCTGACGGGTGCCGCTTCCTCAGCTTGGGAGTGCACGAGAAGTGCGGTTTCGACTGCCCAGTATCCTCTTTGCACCAACAATGTCACCATGTCGGCGCGTTCGTGATAAATGAGTAGACATGACCAAGGTCCCAACGACGCGAGTCTTGAGGTTCTTCGCGTCTGCTTGTCTCAACTATGCCACTGCAGCAGCAAGATGCCAGGCCACCAGGAGGTGCTTCGGAGATGAGCCTGGCATGGGATACAAGCGCTCGTCCCCCCGCGGGAGCTCGGCGGGCACCTGCAGCGGGCCTCAGCGTCTCTTCGACCTGGCCTCTGGTGGCGGAGCGTCCAAACATGTCCTGCAAGGCCGGCAGCGGGCAGGGTGCTAGCGAGGACGCCCCGGCGTTTGCGGTTGCCATGTGATCTCCAAACGCTCACTCTGCGTCCTTGCCCGGAATTTGGAGGCTTTTGGGCAGCGCGTGCGCGTCTCCTCGAACTCCTATGCGAACGGTGCAGATCAGCGGAAGACCTAGTGATAGTGACTGTGATATTGCAGTGCAGTCGGTCTTTTCGTGTGGCACAAGTATTTTGCTGAGGAACTGCGGCAACGTGCTGTCCGATACCCCCACGACACGAGTCTTGAGGCTGGAGCCGGGGATGCCAATCTTTGAGAGCATGAAAGTATATTATATTATATTATATTATATTATATTATATTATATTATATTATATTATATCATATCATATCATATTATATTATGGTATAGTATTTGCTGGATATTTCAGACTTGAAGTCGAGGCCCCCAGGCGGTGGGAGTTCGATAAACCTCGGCTGGGCGTGCGGAGCCGAGGGAACGAACATCAGGAAGCTACAGCTTTGATGCGTATTTGTTGTGGCATCTGACCTTCGGTACAGCCCCTCTGTGCAGCAACTACTGTAGGTCAGCTACCGTAGGTGACAGTATTTCGTATGCCAGAAGCAAAAAGCGCTGTGCGGCACGGACGAAGCATCTTTGCTCAGCTAAGGTGAAAGAGGAGACGCGCTCCCGCTGTGCGGCTTTCTCTCGTCGAGGATCAGAAGCATCGGCTTGATAGCAGCGTATCCACGCGCACGTGCGTTTAACATGGTTGTGATCCGCACGAGGATGCAAAACGATAGAAGGGATCGGTGAAGGGGCTCCAGGTCAAAAGGTTGCTCGTTTCATCAAGGAATTGAGGGATAAAGGAACTCATGGCGCGTGGCCTGGCTGAAGTGGGAGAGTGCACAGACGGATCTCCCAAAATAGTCTTCATTCAATTCAGGGCAGCACTGTCGGGGCATTGGCCTATTGTGCCTCGAGTATCTTACTGTTCTAACGAACCTTGCTGTGACCACCATGCCGGGCATCGGCAACTGCCCTTCGCATCTTAGTAGTCTTGAGATTTGCATGTTGCTGTGCTCACGTTTCATGTGCGGTGACCGGCTGGTCATCGTGCTCTCCCGGGAAAGCTTGTCACAACTCTGAGAAAGCTGGACTGGGACCTTCGCTTGCCAAGTTGCTGGGAGTGCATTGAATGTGGCACTTGCTGCTTTTCAAGCATCGTGCTGGCTGCGAATGCAGCAGGGTGTGTTCTTGGAAGCGGCTTCACAAGCTAGAGTGCTTGACGGCACTATCCAGAGAAATGTGGGCGCAGAAACACGTTCCAGCGTAGAGGGAATTCAATTTGTGGAGACTGCAATGTTGTGGGCTCTGGGACTCTGGGTGTCTGACAAGTACGCATGATCACGCATGATTGAGGCTTGTATGAGACCATATCCATGATCGCCTCAAGGAATCAAGCACAAGCTCACTGGCATCCTACTAGACCTCGGCCGTTATCGGCAGCCTGATACTATGACTCACTTGCCTCAGCATGACATCTGCTCGGCAGCACAAACTGCAAACTTTCCGCCAAGGCGTCGCCCTAGCTTGAGCAACCATCAACCGGTTCCGGTTGCCGTTGGTGCCATGGATGAGAAAGCTGCTAAGAAGATGCTTGATGGGGTTCACAAGCAGGCTACGATGTCCGTGAGGAGGCTCGCCAAGCGGCACCTCACGCACCTTGCAGCCTTGAGAGTGAAGCTGTGCCTTGCATTTCTGCTCTATGGCATATCCTTTGCAGTGATTGCCGTGTTATTCAGCGCCTCTGAGGGCACCCTGGAGCTGTCTCGGATTGAAATCCACGATGTGTCGAGCACCTCCCTGTTGATCTGGTTAAAAGATTGCACCATGGACTTGAAGGTGCAAGATGGATCTTCGATATCTATCACAGAAACTACAATTGAGTTTGATCCGAACAGCAATCTGCTGCACGTCGACTGGAACGAAACCGCAGATGTACTGTCAATCACTTGTTCTGGTCCTGCTTCCGAGTTCGGCGATGCAGTCACGGCTGTGATTGAGATTGGCCACACAATTCACTTCCAAAACTTCGAAGTCGTTTTTGAGCCGGGGGGAGGGAGGAGTCTGTTTCGCTCCAATTTCTCAGGTTTACACAACGAGTCTCTGGGAGACAAGGTTTCGGCATCCGGGGACGAAGGCGTTATCCAGATGTATTATGCAACAATGGGATCCTTGGCAGTGCAGCTAGATCATGGCTTCGTCTTCCTCTATGAAGTGAACTTTGCAGAGTCAAGCTTCGTACTTGGCGGGCAGGTCGACATCTATCTTTGGCAGGAGACATATCAGGCTGGTCTCGATATCAACATACAGACAGGGGATGGCCAGAACACTAGCTCTGGGCTCTGCATCTCGGATTTGGCTTCACGGCCATTGCCGCAGACTTCGAGTTTGGATGGCTATGATTACGTGATCTCGGTTGGCTCAGGGACAGATCGTCGTCCGATGAACATTATCCGGAGCACGGCCTTGAGTCGCCTCTACCTTCAGAGCGGCGTGTGGCGAAGCCAGAGGCATTGCAACAATACCTTTGATTCAGTGATCCGCATTGATTCCCAGTTGGAAGAGAGTTTCAAAACATGGGCAGAGGTGGCCGAAACCAGGTCAGAGTTACTGAACCTGTGGCTGATGGGCCCTTCCATAGGAAGTGAGATCCAGTCTATGACCTCACGTGGGTTTTGGATCTTTTCTCGGTTTGGGAATGCTCTAATGTGGTTTCCCAGCGGACTTTGGAACATCTTCACTGTGGGGATGTTTACTCTTCGCACATCACGCGGAACCTTTCTGGTGAAGGATTCCTTGTGCACGACCAAGCATGACTTGCTGACAGCTGGTACGCCCGATTGTGCTGCGGCAGGGATTTGCGACTCAAGTGTTTTGTGCGTTTGCAAAATGAAACATAGTTGGCGGCCTGTGAAACACAAGGGTAAAATCTTTCCGTTGTGCACCTGAGGCAGACCCAAAAACTCGACAGAGACGTTGTGGCATCAACAGACGATGGAGCGCTGTGCCAAAGCCTTGAGGCACAGCCTGCCCGAGAGCCTGAACTTGACCAACGACCGCAATGGCCGGGTGTACTATGTAGATCGCACGTTCGCCGACACTACGAACCCTTTTCCCTCGATAGCGGACCAGTGGACGGGCATCATGTCCCCGAGCACGAGTGCCTTTGTAAAGGTAGATCATGGGCCAGAGAACCTTCGTGGGCCCTGGGGGCTTCTCTTCAGCGTTGTGATGGTCATCTTGGCCTTGGCAGGAGGCATCTTGGACCCAATTTTGCTGTAGGTGCCTCAACTTCGAATTGCCTAGTTGAAGTATATTTAAGTTTCGTACGAGAAGACGAGACTGTCTAGCAAAACACAAAGCCTGGGATCAGTGCCGCTTTGGCACGGTGGGACCACTCCTCACACACGCGCACACACGCAGACCAAAACTGTTGATTTATGTTTCTTGTGCCTGTGACAGGGAGCAAGGGCTTGGAAACTTGCAGGAACGAGACAGTGTTGATAGTATGTTCCACCTCCTCTTCGACCTCCTCACAATCACCATCTTGGTGTTGTCCGCTGTCATTCACTCCATCACCATGCCGTCACCACCAGCATTACCACAATGGCATGTATAATTATCATCATCACGATCACTGCCTCCTCGTCTTCGTTATTGTCGCGCCCTTCTTCGCTTCGTCGTGTGTCTCCAGCTCCGTTCAGCTGTGGTTGGCTGGGTGTGCAGCGCGAACTCCTGAGTGTATAATGTAGGCTTGGGCATTGGCAGGTACCTTTGCATGTGCCGTGGTGGTTACCTTGTACAAGATGCAGAAGCGGAGGTACCTGAAAGCCAGATCCGTGAATGCTAGCAAGGGCAATCCGGGTCTCCGGGAACTGCTGGAGTTGGAGAACCACTGCAATCTTCTGCTGACCCTTGTGCGATGCCTCATTCTTCGATCGCCTTCTGGCAAAGGCACGATCACTGTGCAGAAGGTGATTGAGATTTGTGTGGGGCATTTTGTCGTAATGCAACTGCTTGTTACGCCGATGGTCCTCGTCGCCATCCTCAGTACCAACAACATGGCGGAGCTCCGTGCAAGCTGTAACTTCAACGAATGGGTGGCTGGAGGTTGTTTAAATGTTCGCAACCGCGCTATTTCAACCACGATGCTAACTGCTTCGATCACCATGAATTCCATTTACTTTCTCAACACGCTCTTGGAGTATACCACGCGTTATGCGCTTAACAAAGCTGAGGAAACAGGGGACTGCGGAAGCATCTACAAGTTCGCCATGAAGTTGCGCGCCTCCAAGGTCTACAGAGTGTTCGTGGCCGTGTGTTTGATGTTGTCACTCTTCTTCTTCTGTTCATATGTTGTTCTGGGGGTCATTATGGTTCTATTGGGAACGCTTCTACAGCCTGAGCGTCTTTCTCCTGTGCTCCTCGCCGTCGGTGGAGCAGTGGTCATCGCCCAGCAGGTCACACAGAAGTTCGACGAGTTTGTGGAGCAGGCTAAGGTCATGGCCGCTGAGTGGCTGGAGAAGCATGCCGATGCTGCCTGGAAGTCTGCGCAGGAGGTGATCGGCCAGTCTGCGCAGGAGGTGATCGGGAAATTGGAAGGCGTGGCAGACTCTGCCCTAAACTCTGTGCCGCCCATTGCAAAAGATGCTTTGGATCGGATGGGCGTGAATCCCGATGCTCTCAACACAGAACTCGTCATGGAAAAGGCGCGGCAGGCAGCTGAGGTCGTCGTTGATTCAGCTGCCGATCAGGTGTATCAAATGAGCGCCGAGCCAGATGCCACCGGAAGCTTGCTGCGCAGCGCGAAAGATTTGCAAAGTTCTTCTCAGGCGATGTTGGCCCAGGTTGCGGAGAGTCTTCCTGGCAAAGTCGTTACCGAGGCTGAACATTTTTTGCAACCGGCTGCCACAGCGCTCGGGCAAAGGCTGGAGAAGCTCGAGCCTGGCTCACGCTCCTTGCTCGAGCAAGCGTCGACAAAGGCAGGCGTGGACCCTTCTGCCATAGTTCACACGCTCCAAGCTTCGAGCAAAGCAGGCGTGGATCCTGCTGTCATAATGCAGGCGCTTCGTGGTTCTGGTGGGGATGACTCCTTCGCCAGCGCACGTTCCCGGATCGAGGAAGCCTCGAGCCAGGCAGGTGTGGATCCGTCCACCATGATGCAGGCTCTGCAAGCTTCCACCGATGCAGGTGTGGATTTTTCTGTGCTAATGCAGGGCTGCGGTGCTGCAGACCAATTCAAAGACCTAGCAAGTGCGGCTCAGTCGTCGATTGAAGACGTAAAGCTCAAAGGAGTGAATGCAGCAGCCTTAGTGGAGAGCGGTGGCCCAGCTGGCGAAGTCACAGACCGAGTGGCCGAGATGAACGTGCCGTTGAAAGGAATAATGGAAGAAGCTGTCGGAAACTCTTCTCAACTGCTTGGGGCATTGGGTGATCTTGGGGCATTGGATGATCTAGAGGCAGGCGAGGTGGTTGAGAGTAATGGACAATCGCTTGACCTCGAGAACTTTCTCGTGATGCTGGGCTTGAGCAAGGGTCAGCTCCTCCTCCTCAATATCAATGCCGTTCTCCTCTTCCTCTCTTGCGTGAGCTTCATCCTGATTGGTTC